AGTTTCACACTGTGCTTGATGAGGCAATAATTTCAACAGAGTAATTGAAACATAGTAACATTTTTTAAATCTAAAGTTATTTAAATACAATTTCTTGACTTAATTAAGCTTATGATTTAGTGTAAACCAATCGACTGCATTTTAACCGATCACATTACATACCCCAAAGTTTGTTATGTCATGCTCAAATTGGTAAAGAAACGCAAATAAACCGTTTGAGAAAGATATTTGTCAGTCTGCCTGCCAGCCTATCTATCTGCCTCAATTTCAACCCACTTGATGTTAATAAAACAAAATTTACTTTGGCCATGTGAAAAATTGATCAATTTTTGGAATATATGTCAGATTTCAGGATTTTTCTGTGGGCCGACATTACGGTTTTGATTATTTGTAATGAGAGAATTTTTGAAATTTTATGTGTAAGCTCCCTTCGATACTATGACGAGCTAGCAAGCTTTTTGAAAAACAATCACCACTACTAGAGCCACAACTCTATTTGCTAGAGTAATTAGTCTTTTTTGACAACAATACTTAACAACAAACTTCTCGGATAAAGTGGATTCGAGAAATTGAAGTTCTACAAAAAACTAAATTTAGTTTTTATAAGTTTTTATCATTTACATATTTCATTTTGTCCATGAATTACATGTAATGAATTAAATGTATAGCTACATATTATCTAACTATTTAGTTTATTCCGCAAGATTAACAATATATAAGAAAACTGAAAAAAACAGAGTTGGAGTCGATGTTGGCCTATCAGCGGTGTAGAAAATTAAGGTAATGAGAAAAGCACAGTCAATAAACTCTCCGATCGTGAGTAGGTTCTCTTACTTGGCCAACATCATGACCCCTGTCGACTAGACTGAAAAAAAAGTGTAGGTTTCAGTCAACATACATATAGCGATTTTCCAATATCCATGACAACAAAATTTAACATAATATTTCGAGATTTAATTTGCTTAATATCGAAAGATCAAAACTTGCAAGCATTCACGGAGTACCTTGAATAATATTGTGGTTAAGAGAAGAACCCATGTGTAAATATTAAAGAAGAACCAATATGATAATATACAGCGCGAAAATTGAAAATGAAGAAATTAAATAATAATGTGGAGTTGAATTTGGAGTTTAGAAAAAACCACAATTAAAGGATTTAAAGCTATCATTACTTTATGATTTGCATATTTGCAGGATTTGCATTACATTCATTTTTTGTAAACAAAAATAAGAAGAACTTGTAAGCAGTTTGAACTTGTACTTATGTCACATTTTTCTTGATTGAATAGTGTAAAATTTTGACTGAAATTCATTTAATTTAAAGTTACTACTTTAAATAACAACAATTTCTCCGAATTCAATTTATTGATAGTGTAATTGTATTTTTGGGTTTTTAGTTGCAATTGTCAGTAATTGAATGTTTTGTTTTTATTATGATAAATTAAAATTTATATCACCTACATTTTAATGGTATTGAAATGAAATATTTTTTGTTTATGAAACATTGAATTACTTACTATATATATTCATTTTAAAACAGAAGGAGTACCTACCTATTTCTGCATTTAAAAAAAAATATTAATAAGAATGCCAGTTTGTAGCTTTTATATGGTTATTCTTCTGTATAGCTGTTTTCAATTCTCTGTTACAGAGTTATTGTAAAAACAAATACGTATGTATAACATGAGGACTATTACCATGCCTTTAGTTTTCATTTTTCAATTCAAATTTGGAGTTCTTGTGACAATTGCTTTTATTTTTTTTTTAAATAATGTTGATGATAATAATTGTCAAAACTTAAGCAAATAAATAAAAGTTTTGAATATTTTAAAAGTAAGAAAATTTGATATTTAAATATTTTCAAATGAACAACAATCGCGATGAAAATTATACAATTACCGCGAAATCCGCTTATAGTCACAAAAGCACAAAAACATGGAAATTTTTATAAGAATCTATGACTGTAAATGTAATAAGTTCACAAACGCTAGTCAAAAAACAGTTCGCAAACTCAATTTATATATGACAAAATGAAGAAATTATATCAAATGCATATATGGCATCGAGTAACATTATTCGTAAAAAAAACAGGCTAATAACCGGTATGTGTTTGAAATGTTTGTGATTTTAACAGGCCGTTTTCCGCTTATAAACAAATTAATATATGTGAAAGCGAAATACTTAACTATTATGAAATTGTAACTATAAACGGATTTGAATGTATATATGTATAATTAAAATTAAAATTCACCCGTTAGTAAATAAAAATTTATATGTATACCTATTTTATTTTATAACAAAATATGTGATACTTTAAGAGCAAACATTTTAATTCTTTTCTATTCTGCTTTGTAAAATCTCTGCTATTTTTACTATTTTTGAATATAAAAGTATTGTTTTTTTCCACTTATTATTATCGTTTTTTTACATAACAGTTTTATGATTTAAGACAATTTATATTGATTAATAATTTTATTTAGTTTTGTAATCTTTAATATTTTTAATTTTACCTAGTTTTAGATTTTCATTAAATCAATCTATAATTTTTATATGTTCAAACATATATTACCTATATACTGTATTACAATTTTTATTTGGTTGATGTCAACTTGTTACATATTACATTTTAACTCCTCATACAATCTTACATATTGAATTATTCACTATATAATTGTAAATTAAGTATATTTTTGTGTTCACTGTTTTGCTGAATTATAAATAAAAAGTATTTTTATACAAATTACATAGAAAAACAATATTCGTATTATTTTTTTTTTTATTGAAAAAAAAAACAAATGTAAAAAAATATTATAAATCCAAAAATCATTATTTAAAAAATATAGGCAAAAAAATTAAAATTGAAATGTTAATTTTAAAATTAAAAATCTTTAATATTCAAAAATTTGTTTTATCTTCTTTTTTTTGCTTAAAAACAGTGAAGAATCAATTTGAAAGAGTGCTTATATCAAAAGGAGGTGCGGAAAGGCTTCTATAATTTAAATTATAAAAACAAACAATGAACATAAAGAAAACAAAGTAGAAAACTATATTTAAAAGTTACAATATTAAGCTAAATACATGAATTTTAAAAACAAAACCTGCCAAAAACTAAATAGTTTCTAATATACTTTATAATTATAAGTTTTTTTTAAAACTGTTTAAAAGTGCGCAATAAATGACACAACTCAAATTGTAATATAAAAAAAAATAATAACAAAAATATTGCATACAATTAGAATGAGATTTAGTTATTAACACATAAACGTAATAGTATTAAGAAAGGGAGAAAGTATTCAAGGTAGTGCTGTCGCTTTTGGTTCTATTGTATATTTCTACTGCAATTTAGCATAATTTACTGGAACATTGCGATTTGCTTAAAACTGAAATTTTTTATATTATATATTAAAAAAAAAAAGTGTGCTGGGTTGTAATGTTATATATTATTATGCCATATAAATTTTGTTATTATATATATGTAAAACTTATATATTTATACATATATATCTTATTATATATTTACTAAATATTATTATCTATGCGCCTTTAAATTTAAAAAAAATATACATACATATGTTTCAATTTATAAAATTGTTGAGCCTCACTCTCGACGGATTTATCTTTCTGAAACCGAAATATATAAAAAGGAAGATCTCAACATATTGAAGGGCGTTAGATAAATAATATTAGGTAGTTAAAAAAAAAAGAAATTTTTACAGCTTTGTGGGCTGTAACTTTTAGAAAGGAGAAGAGGTAAAAATTTTTTTCTAGAAAAATATTTATTTGTAAACAAAAATCGCAACATTATCCTGAAATTAAGCTAATTGGTTTTCAAATTTTATTATAGTCTCTATATTAATAAGTTAAGAAAAGTTGTACAAAGAATTCGATTAGAGCAAGTCTAAATGTCCAACGTAATGAATTCAAATCTTATCTGCTTGTATAGGTATTAATATCCCATTATTATGTAACATGGCTACCAATATAATATTATACAACCTTATTAATTATATAATCTTTTAACAATTTTTACTCTAAAGTTTTTTCTATATTTTTGAGTTGTGCCATTGTTTGTATTGACACTATGATATTTTTTTCTCTATATTAATTATTTTCATTCCATATTAAATTAACCGGGTTTCCATGCGAAATTATTATTTTTTTCCTTTTATTTTAAGTGAATTGTTATTCTAATTTCAGTGTATTGTAGCATAATTAAATATGTACAAAATAATTCCTCTACACAAAAAATAAAATTAAGCAAAATAAAATTATAATTTAGGTAATTTAGGTATTTTATAATAAATAGGCAATTTTGCAAATATATTGTAAAATTTAACTTAATATTAGAAAAATGATTCAAATTTAAAAAATATAATGATTACTCTAAAATAATATTTAGAAAAGTATAATTATAATTATGTATATAAAGTTAATTTTAAAACACGAACAAAATGCAATTACAACTTATTTTTTAATTTTATTGTCATAATATTTATATTACTCGTATGTATTAAATTTTAAAAATCGTTGCAAAATTTTTAAAAAATATTTAAAAAAAAATGTGTATATAGTTTTATTAAAGGAAATTTAATTAATGTTTATACATGTATGAATAATTTATTTGTTTTCTCTTAAGTTAACAAATTTAAAATTCAATATCCGAGAAGTGCGAAATGAAAATAATTTGTATGGGTTGAGGTTGTTAATTTTATATTGTAAGAATTGTATAAAATTAATAAGAAAGAAGTTGTACTTCTTTGAGTTATTTGGATTAATATTTTGTACATACACATTTCAATTAATTATTTTTCCTTTAAATTCTAAAATTTTTATGTATATGGGATTGGTGCCATTTAAAGAACATCTAAAATTTATTAATATTCGTTTTAATATATATGTATTAATATAATATATATATATATATATATATATATATATATATATATAACTATATATATATATATTTATTTATACGCATATGAAAGAATAAGTTCACTTACCCGAATGTGCTTGATCCTCTTCACTTCCAGATCCTGTCATTCTTCTTATATTATGAGCTTTGTGATCCCTGAAATTTTAAACAAATTTGTTTTTAATTTTCATTTTTGAAATACATTTTGGAAAATTTAATCAACGGCGAATATTTTTCTTATATTTTATTCTCTTCTCCCTGATAATCGAAGAGGCACTTATAATCTAGCAATAATTATAATGAATGGTCACTTTAAGAAAATAATTTTTTATTTAAATAATATTTATTTATATTACGAGTATATATAAAAGATATATAAGGTATGAACGTATTTAAAAAAAATATTTATATACGTGGTTTTTAATGGTTTGTAAGTATTAATAATTAGCGTTTTTATAAAAACTTACTTAAAATAGCTGAAATAAATTTTACAACACTATATTATCATAAATATTTAAATGAAAAATGTATATATAAAAGTATATATGTATTTATCTTGAGTGGACTGAGAAGTAGTGAATATACAACTCTCATTTTAGTTTAATGGAATATTAAAATACAATAGGTAAAAAAAAGGTTTGCTTCATACAATTATTAATTTATAATTTAATTAGAAATTGAAATTTCATTCGTTGTATATATATGCATATATATGTATGTGTATTTTTATTTTAATATCACATTTTGTTACCTTGTATTTTTCTTTTCAAAAATATTTCATTGAAATACATTTTGTATATCCGAGAAGATGTCTCGGAGAAATAAAGTATCATTTCGTTAGAGTAGAGTTATAGAAGAGTTATAAAGAGTGTTTATATAACGTACATTATTGTAACACAATGGTATACGTTATATAAACACAAATATAATTGATAATTATATATATCAATTATAGTTAATTTTTTTTAATGAATTGATCATTAATATCAGAATATGTATACGATACGACAATTATATTATTCTTCTTTCTATTTGTTAGAGCTATACATTGTACATGAGGGTTATTTAATTTATCATTCTTGTACATTAGTTCCCCTTGATAAATATTTGCTTTTTTGTGCATATTAAGACAGCAGATTTGTAATTTACTTGACTTGTAAGCTTAGATTATTTCGAATTAAAAATGATTTCCACGTTATCATCACATTTTTTTTTTTATTAATAAAATGGATTTATAAGTCAGCTTCAAATCAGGCATATACCTGGAGAAACGGATTTATTAAAAAATATATCGGTAGGAATTTACGAATAGAATAAAACAATTTGAGAATAATGGAAATTGTATCCAAGGACAACAAAGAAGAACCTTATTTGTACATGATAAATTAAAAAACAAATGTTATATTTGTAGCATTTACGTTTTGATATACCGTTATTGTTAATGATACTTTATTATAATTTAATTTATCTAGTTATTCAAATCAAATATCCCTAATTTTAATATTTTAAATTAGTTTAAGAGAAATATTTAAGTTTAATTAGTTTAAAGAAAATATTTGCGATTATAAAATAGATGCTAGTACAATATTGAAACGTTTATAACAATGTTTATTAAAAATGTTATATTAATATCCATTAATTCAAAATAAAATTTAAATATTATTTCATTCTCCAGTTAAATAGCCAATGTAAAAGAGAATTCACATTTTCAAGTAAGTTCAAGTTTTAATGCTGAATAAACACCCAACTCCTTTATTATTCCATATTAAGAAAATTGTATATAAAACTCACAAATTATAAAACTTACCTAAACACAGTTTGATTTCCATACATTAATTTACTGGAACCGTCTAATGAAACCTCTTCTACAGATTGATGATGATTGGCAGTGGTACCTGCTCCTCCGTAGGCTTTTGCGATTGGTTTTTTCGAATATGGTGGATCATACTTTAATCGAGTTGTTTTCCGTCTATTTATTTTTATTTGTTTTTTTTTTATGGATATTGTCATATTTATTTTTTTTTCAAAAAGATTTCCAATGGTTTCCAAAACGAAATTCGTTTAGTTTGATTTTGTTTAGTAAAAGAATTTGTTTAAAAATTTCCCATTTAAATGGAGAATTGATTTTTTATATATATATATTTTTAGATTTAAAATATGTTATACAGGATTCAAATACATTAAATATTTTGGTTTCGCATACACACACAGGACATTTTGTTGTATTTTGGTTGTTTCAGTTTGAATTTTTTCATGTTAATTAAATTATCGAGTGATGATATATATGATATTTTATATATATATATATATATATATTTTTTTTTTATAAAATGATGGTTTTATATATATATATATTTTATATTTTGTTTGTTTGATTCATGTTTTGATATTTTTGGAATTAAATTTTGCAATGTTTTTCAGATGAAAATAAAGAATATTGGTAAAAAAAATATGATTTTTGTTTAGTATTTTTTTTTTTGTGAATGATATTTAATTAAAAAAATTTAATATATATGTATAACATTTAATTATAAATCTAGATTTAAATATATAATGTGCTTTACCTAACTAACTATAATTGTGTTAAAAAATACAATAAATATAGTGTAACATTTAATACACACACACACATACATCAAATAATTTTTTAAGTTTACAGAAACAATTTTGAATGTGAAACGAACTGACATTTAGTTTTTCATAATTTTGAAACTATATAACGCATTAAAAACGTAATTAATAAATTTAATTTAATAGTAAAAAAAAGTTATGAACATACTAATGTAAAGAGGTCTTTAGAACAGAAAATTAAACGGTTACTTTAAAAAATAATCCAAAACATGTTATGACATTTAAATGAAATATTTGCAGAAGTTCAAGATCTACCTAATAACTATAAAGAATATTTACTGGCCTACATATAACCATATATTGTGGATTACTGAAGCCCGTATTGAAAAATAAAAACCTATCCAAGCAATTAAAAGTTCATTTTTAGAGTACAGTTGAAAAATATGTAAAATATAATTTTTTATCCTTGCTCTCTATGGGAAGTATGATTCACCAAATCTGTAATAAAATTAATGCTATTATTTTATTAAATGATGTTACTAATTTGTTAATAATCGCACAATATAGTTATTTAATTTAGAAGTATTTCTTGTCCTAAATGCTTTCCTAATTACTGTTTGATAGTAATTCATAATATGCTATAATTAAGAAAATCGCTATTACTCACCAGTAACAGCACGGAACTGAAAAGCCAGCATAGAGATATTGGTAGATACAACAAAGGTTGTATCCCTAATAATATACTCCAGAATAGTCGAAAAATTGGATGCATCAATCAGAGAAGAACAGGCGGGGTTTCGGCAAGGTTGGGGGTGGACAGAACATGCGAACATTTTGAGAATGATCATCGAGCAGTCAATAGAGTGCAACAGACCGTTATATGCAATATTCATAGATTTCGAGCAAGCATTCGATTCCATTAAGCGCAGCATGATATGGGCAACACTAAAGAGACACAGAATCCCTGCAAAAATCATAAATATAATGCTACAACGCAGAAACTCAGTACCCCAATAACAACACCAGCAGAAGTAAGACAAGGATGCCTCTTACTACTATTCGTCACAGTACTTGACAAGTGTAGGAAAGAAATAGCACCACGTAGAAAGGGAATAATCTGGCAGCTTTCGCAGAAACTCCAGAATATGGAGTATGCAGATGACATAGTCATATTGAGCCACTCAAAGGGTCGAAGCTTTGGGTCTACGCATAAATCCCACTAAGACCAAATGCTTGAGAAAAAGCTCTACAAGCCAGATACCAATGTACTTACTAAAAACCCAGATTGAGGAGGTAGCAGAATTTGAGCACTTGGGTAGCATGATAGCGACTGATGCAGGCACGAGTAGAGACATAGAGCACAGAATATCAAAGGCCGGAAGTGCATTTGGAAGGCTGCGGCCGGTGTGGAGGTCTACACAAATAGCAAGGGGTACAAAAATCAGAATATTTGATGCGTGTGTCGAGTCTGTGTTGCTCTACGGAAGTGAGACGTGGCTGGTTTCAAAGAACAACATGAGAAAATTACAAGTGGTTGTAAACAGGTGCTTTAGGATTATATGCCGCATCTTCTGGCCCAGAAGAATAATGAATGAGGAGTTGTGGATTCTGACAAAGCAGGAACAGATCTGGGTCTAGACAAGAAGGAAAAAGTGGAAATGGATAGGCTACATTCTGAGGCGGCCAACAATATCAGAATGTTATCAGAAACGGTTAGGACAGAATGTGAGCGAAGCGGCAAGACATGGTCCGAAGTAAAAAGGATGGCGCAAGACACAGAGAATTGGCGAGGATATGTCGAAGCCCTATATTCCCTAGGGGAATAGAAAAAGGAAAAAAAAAAGAAAATCGCTAAAAAATAAAAATGTCATTTAGACTTTTAATACTTTTCAAAAAATTTTTTACTCTTCTTCGTGGACCCATTTTCAACCTTGTTTCTAGAACTTTGAAGTTAGAAAGCAAAAATAAGTAAATTTTTAGATCTTTATCAGAAACCTATTTCTGTAGAACAAAGTTTTTAACCAATTCCCCCCCGCCCCCATAGTTGAATATTAAAAATAGAGAAATGGCTGCTAAAATTAAGCGTCATCTAAAGTCATTTTTTTTTCAAACTTTTCATGTCATTTTTCTTCTAGATCGTAAGTTGCACCAGTCTGAAATTCTGGCAACTTTTAAATAAAGTAATAAATAGTTTAGTTCGTTAGAAGTTACCGCTTCTCAAAGTTTGCAAATTTGAATTTTTGACGCCTTTATATTCAAAACTGAATTTTTGACACCTTTATATTCGAAACTTCAAAACTTTACAAATTTCTATAAATGTAGAAAGGTAGCGATAAATACCATGCCATTCAAAAATATAACTATTTTTCCTAATTCACGCAATTAACCGTTTAATTCGACCCTTATGTTTTTGCCTCTTCGTTTTTTTTTTGTCTCATCCTAAATGAATGCAATCTTTGAAAATTTGGTATATGAATGAAATTAATTTTAATAATGTAGATTGTTTTTAAAATTATAATATTTCCACTTGTTGAAGGAAAAGTACTAATTTACAAACCATTAGTTCAAACCAACTTTATTAATTTAACTTTTTATAAATGTAGGCCAGGCCTTTTCGAAAGCTATACTATCATCAATTTTTTCTGATAGCAATACAATCTTTTTTAAAACATTTAAATAAAAGATCAACTAAGTTGCTAAATATTATAAAGAAATATGTACAAGCTACTAGTTATCATACAGTCATATCTTCAACAATCGACTTTCGATGTATAGATCTCTCCCAAGTTTTCGTAAATATCATTTTAATGCAACGGTGTAAAGTTTTAAGTAAAATCATTCTATTTACAAAAATATAAACTTTCAAAGGGAGAAATGAAACTCACTACATATTTGCTTTTGAAACCAAAATATAGACTTAAATAGCTACAATAAAGGTTTTATATAAAATTTTCAACTTTTATGTTAGTATAAATTTTTCAAAAATTATTACTCTTTCATTCCCTCAAGTTCATGGAAAGATTATTTGAAATAAGAGAATTGCCATTTCAATAGGTAAATTACTCCTAAAAGATTTGTAGGCAAATTCAAGATCCAGACTTAAAATGCTAAAAAGCAATGTGCAATTTTGCCAAGGGTTTGATCAACTATAAATTTTTCAAATAAAAGTTGCAGGACAAATTTACTATGTTACAGCACGAGGCTGCATTTTCTCATTCATATCTTAAAAGTAGAGAAGGACAAAGAAATTTAAAAAAAAATTAGTAGTAAACCAAATAATCTAATTGAGAGGTTAATTATTGGTCAAGGTTACAATATAAATGTTTGTTTCCTGTTTCGTATATTAAATTTTATATATTCCGCTTATAAAAAATTTATGAGCTTTATATGTTTAAAGAAATGAGTTCTCAAAAATTTTGTGGCGATTAAGCTTAGAAGGGAAAGACGATTAAAAGAAAAAGTGTTCCAATAAAATGAACTAATAAAAATGTTTATAAATTCTTAAAATTTTTGAAAGTGCTCTAGAATTTGTTGCCTGCAGTGCTTGCAAGTCCAATAGAATGTTTTAAGAAATGTAATTTATGGATTTTGTGTGCCTATAACTTTTGAAATTTGGAAGGTAAAAATTTTCGAGTAAGTATTTATATGCTAAATTCACTAGATGTACACATTTCTTTCCAATTTTCTTAAAATTGTTCTTAAGGCCCTTACTTAATTGTAATCATAAAGTATTACGAGTATTACTGCTTTTTATAAAAAAATTGTAAAAAAACAATAACAATTATAAAGAATAGCAAATGAAATATGGTTTAAAAAATTTATGAAGGGTCTGAAAAACTCTTTTTTGATTTTTTAATATTTACGGTTATTGATAATATTAATTTTTTATTTTTTTTTACTTGAAAATTTAGTTTTGTGTTTTAACCATATTTGTTAAAATTTATATAAAAGTTGTCGAAAATATTGAATCGATAAATGTAAATTATTTTTCATCGAATGTTTTATTCATTAAAATGTGAATCGATAACAGTGTATGTGTATTTTTGTAAATTAATAGCAAAAATCTCATTAAAAATCTTTTATGAAACTTAATTATTATTAATCATGTAATAACAATTAAATAAATTTTTAATGTAATTAAATTCTCTCCAACACCTTCACACGATATTTATGGTACACGATAATATATGGTGAGTATTTTGTATAATGGTAAATTTATAAAAATATAAATTTTTTAATTTTTTATGTTATATTTTTATAATACTTCTGCAATAAATTTTTGTTTCACATTTTCGCGGGAATTTACTTAACATACCGCTAAAATAAATTGGTATCGAATCATTGGTATGAAATTTGAGAAATGTCAAAATTCTAGAGAAAAAATTTCTCCTGGAAACA